AATTTTATCAGACAAGTAAAGAGTATAGTGTTCAAACCAATTGTATAGGGACTACTAACATAATTGCGCAGATGTTGTGTGGAAACTTCGACACTCAGTGAACAAACCGCACATGCGAATTGCAAACCTGTTAATCCGTCTTCTGGTACAGTACGTGACCTATCGCATGAAACCTGAAAACGGAAACTGATGTGAGAATTTCTGGACATCTTTAACGTTGCGCATTTTGCCTACTTATCCACTTCCTTCAATGAAATGTCCTTTTCTTATGCAGAAATTGCGTTTACGAAATTATATCAAGCAAAATATGAATAAATTTTAACAAAAATAGACGCTGCGATGTATTCGTGCAATTTCCTAAGCCAATACATGTCCTAGACTCCGGTTGAGCATCTAAACGAATTTTTCGTCGAAAGGAAAGTAATTTAACCGCGAACGTTTAAATAAACAGACTTAACCGGCCTTGAACATTTATTTTATTCTGACGCGGACCGTAGTAATCAGCTTGCTAACACAAGGGTTATTTTAAGAAAACCAGATGTTTTATCAATTCTTAAAAGTCATATTAGCAGAGCTGCGCAGTTTGGTACCCTAAAATGCTGTAATAACGCAGACAGGGATTCCTTCGTTTAAATGGGCTGAAACTGTTTAGCCGTTTGGAGAATTTTATGTGATGTCACATAAATTACCAACCCAACTGGTCATTTTCACTTTTGAACATGTGAACCATTACTCTCGTGTTGTTTATCTTCTGCGCATACCTAATCTAGGAATGGAACGAGCAAAATATTAATAGGTTCAGTAAAATATCAGTATTCATATGGGCGCTCTGCCGTACATTCATAATCGAAGAACGGAGCCTAAAAGCAAGTAAAACAGTGCAAATGACCGCAATATGTGTAGAAAAGGCATGTCCTTACGATAACGGTTGAAGAATATTACTATTGTTCAGGAGCGCGGAAGAAACAGCCAAAGGTGTCAAATTTTTTCGGCCTCACTGTGCAAAAACGCAAAGTACACAGAGATCCGTGAACGGACTGCAGTATTAAAAAACTTCGGAAAGTTTTCTCATTGATCGACGGCATATTCGTTATTGACTTTCGTTATGGACAGCCATTTTTTTCAAAAATGAAATTTGATGTCTGAATGAGTCTTCACATGTGACCAAACTGACCTTCTTCGTGAAAAGGAGCGCCCAAACACTGCTTAATTCGGTAAATGCCTTCAAGAATTATCTTATTTTAAAGTTTTTAACAGACAGATAATTCAGAATCTGTATTTATAGCCGATCGGCGGAAAACACTAAAAATCAAAAAGTATTAAGAAATATTTCAAGGCCGATCTGAAACTCAGCGTAATCCAAAACGAAGGAAAAGTATGAATTACTTTAACGGAGGAAACGTTCTCTCCATAAACACAGGACAACGGGCCCGTGGCTCAATGATAGAGCGTTCAACTCCATGACCAAAGATCCCGGGTTCGAATCTCAAGTGATCCACACTTGGGGTTGGGTATGACTGGCTGATGACGGCTAATAAGCCAGAAATGGCCATTCCGGTCTCCCTTGTCTTTGTCGGTATCACCTTCTCAACAAGATGGTATGTTTACGATCACGCCTGGCAGTTCAATTTAAATTTATTAGACACCGATCGGTCTGGCAGGACGTCGCCTCACGAAAACGTTTGTTCCTACGACGTCCACATCAGCGAAATCAAGCAAAATCCCGTTTTTCTTGTTGAACCACATCCCCTTCAACTCAAACGAGTCAAGAATACTACGAATCCCTGGAATACTGTTTTGGAATTTATACTCAAATTGTAGACTGTTGACAAACCGCCGTATGTGAAATCACACTAATTCGTAAAAGATATTGAGATGTAAACTTCACTGCAACACTATTATTAAACATTATTTTATTTGTACCTTCATATTTACTGCGTCTTTGGTATGAGAGTACATTCTATACATCTAGAAACAAAATTCACTTAATTAGAGCCATTTCTGACGTTTTCGGGATATTGTGCTTTTCTAAAAAATCGGCATTTGTAAACAACGCAACACTGCCTTTAGTATTTTTGTATGTTTTTGATTCTTACAGACGTGTACGTAATTACCATGGAAATTATATTCATGAAATGGTGTTAGTTTGCGAGTGATTGACAATCATTCTTAAATTTCGATACCTTTCATGAGTTAAGTCACGCAATGTATATATGGGTCAAAAACGATACTTTTGGATTTTAGCTGTTGACACAATTGTTTGAGAAATGTTTGTCAAGAGAGAAAGATGCGCTTTATTTTGGAAATATCATTCAGAATGTTTTGGCAAAAAGGCCCTCATTCAGAAAGGGTAAAATGGTACGCAAGTAAGATAACACCAGGAGATCACATGCGATAGTTAGTGGCCTGAAAACTCCAACTGTTGACATCATGAAGAATCACCGGTGATGGAGTTGAAAAATTCGCGTCAGATTTTGTTCCCTTAAAAACGGTACTAGCGTAGTGTACAGATGACCTCATTAGTGTAGATCAGATAAAGAAGGAGGGGAAAAACCAGTATATAATGAGTAAAATAGGCCAATCGATGTACATACTGTAGATGTGTTAACTCAGGAAATGTTAACCAAAATTCCGAAATACGTTCTAGATTCGAAAAGATTATTAAATAAGGTTGTAATGTTAATCCCCATGCAGCATAATCCCATTATAATTCACTTACTTCTGGAATCCGGCTTCCGAAAGAACTTGTTTTCGACCGCCTGCAAAAAGTAAATTCTGCAAAAAATAACTACTTAAGTAGCATGCATTTCCCCATTGATTTTTGAAGCCCTCATGAATCCAAATATATTTCATAGAAAACAAGCATAACAATTTTCATTCTTTTACTTATTCGATAGAAAATCACGTCTTCTTCAAATTTCATACTCAAAAGAAGAGTATAATTCGGTTTTAAAAAGTTTCAAATTGTGAGATTTTTTAATACCGTTAAATGGCCGTTCATAAAACGTCATGTATCTGCATTTACGAATGTGGCTTGCAAATTTAACAATATTGCTCAAATCCACTGCTTAATTTTATGAACCTCATATGGTCTCCTCTTAACACCGTAGAGAAATGCATGGTTTTCCGTACACGGAAAATATACAGCTCGTAGTTTCGAAACCTTGAATGCAAGTGTAACAGCAGGTCAGGTTCAAAATTATTCGGGAATTAGAAAAGTCTTTTAAAACCGAATTATACTCTTCTTTTGAGTATTAAATTGGAAGAAGACGTGATTTTCTACAGAATAAGTAAAAGAATGAATATTTTTATGCCCCTGTTCCATGAAATACAATTGAATTTTCAAGGGCATCGAAAAGCAATGGGAAAATTGCATACTACTTAAGTAGTCATTTTTTGCAGAGCATAGATCTGGCATGCAGCCGAAACTAAGTTCTTTCGAAAGCCGACATCCTGAGGTAACTGGATCATTATAGATTTATGCTGCATCATGATTAATTTTACAACACTACTAAATTTATCTTTTCGAAACAAGAACGACTTTCGTAATTTTGGTTGACATTTGATGAGTTAGCACATCTGCTGTAGGTTTGAACAACCACCGAGGAGAAGAACCCTGAATAGAGGGTACAATCAAAAGGGCACGTACGAGAAGACACGCGAACAACTCAGGCACCGAATGAGATCAGAAAACCAGTCGGTCCTGGACCTACTTTGTGATACTTTCAGTATCCCGACCCCCAAGATTGAGGTTCCAGATGTAGCCCAGGCCCCCAGGAGGTCCCCTAGAACTGGATGCCCCCTTACATACTCGTGATCCACTAAAACTGTCGAACGTACGAGGCCCACTCTTTGTCTGCGGGGGTGTTGGGGCGGCCCAGTACATGACGTACCATTGCTGTCGTCCGGCGGTCAAGCTTAACAACGAAGCGCTAAATCCGCCCAACAAGCGCGCGCGCGAGTCAACAATTAGTGAGCCACCGAATTACGCGCGACCTCCAGGGGTCGACAGCACGCGAGGGGTTGCCCATGCGGGCGCTCAGGGGCTGGAGCGGTGGAGACATCAAACCAGACAAGGGCAGAATCCTCAAATACGAAGCTACGGGCAGAAGGATTGAGTGCCGATGTACACAGAGTGACTCTCGCAGGAAAACTGTTCTCTGCTATCCTGTCCGTCTTCCATTCCGCTTAGAGCTGACGTCATACTATTAGGGGATATAACGGGTAAGGCTGGCTGACGAGGACCAATAAGTCGGAGGTGGCCATTCCAGTTCTTCTCGTCTCTGTCTGTCCTTCTTCTTCCACATGCTTAACTCTCTCCCTTCCCTATTCGATTCTTGAAATTTGTCTCGGCAATGTAGTCAAGTAGAAGGAAATTGCGTGAATGAATTCCCTTTCCGGTGAGAATAGCGTTGAGACTTAACGTAGAGTACTAATCACGAGAATCCACAAACGCGGTGACGAAGTGGCCATGGACGATCAAGCAGTTGAGAACCTCCGCGACGAATGCGGTAACTATTGGTTTTGTTAGATACATGACTGCGACGTGGTCCTTTGTGACTGATATTTAAAAGTTATTTTAAAACCTCAGGCGAATGAATTTCTTGTTTCACTGACTATACCTCGTAATTTTCATTTACTCATCCCACTGCGTGCATTGACACTGAATACGAGGTTTAAGTTCCGATGCAAAGATTCGGTTGCTGTTTCACTAATGACGGAGTAAACAACAACTCTGATGCTGTCAGGGGATCTCTATAGGTTTCGAAATTTCGGACAAACAGTCAAACTAGGCATGTAATTTCCTCATCAAGTAGAGTGGATAAGGAGTCCAGCGTGACACAAATAGTTCACTTTCCAATCTGACTTAGAATCTATGGCTTCGGAAAAATGCGAAATATTTAGAGGCTTCTTTCCGCCCACTCTGTAGGACGCTGGTCTGGTAAATCTGACGTTGCAACTGACGCTTGGAGGTTGGTGGAGGAAAGTCACGAATGGCCTCAACCTTGGAAGGGAGGAGGACGCAAACCTTGTGCATCGACATGGTGACCAAGAAAATCAAGGGCCGGCACACCCAGAACACACTTCGAAGGGTTAATGACCACGCCAAACTGATCGAGGCGGTCAAACACTAAGGCAAGATGCTCTTTGTGTTCCTCGGCATTTCGACTGGACACCAAGAGGTCATCGATGTAGGCGTACACAAACGGGAGACCACGTAGGACTCGGTCAATGAACCTCTGAAATGTTTGGGCAGCATTGCGAAGACCAAATGGCATGCGACTAAATTCGAACAGGCCGAATGGTGTGGTGACGGCAGTTTTGGGAACATCCTCAGGAGCGACAGGAATCTGATGGAGGGCCCGAACAAGGTCAATCTTCGAGAAAACCGATTTGCCGAAAAGAGCTCCAGCAAAATCTTGAATATGAGGGACCGGATAACGATCCGGGATGGTCGCATTGTTGAGGGCGCGATAGTCACCACAGGGCCGCCAGTCGTCTGATGTCGCCTTGGACACCAAATGCAGAGGGGACGCCCATGGACTCTCGGACGGCCGAATTATGCCCAGTTGCAGCATGTGCTCAAATTCGGCCTTCGCCGCTTGTAGACGGGACGGAGCCAGTCGTCTAGGCCGTGCGAATACTGGGGGGCCAGAGGTGCGAATTTGGTGGACAACGTCATGCTGGATCTCACCACTGCGAAACTGGGGTTTGATTATGTTGGGGTGTTGGAGGAGCAGGTCTCGGTATGGGCAAGCAATACCTGTGTCCAGAACAGATAAATTGCAGGAGTCATTAAAGGGTGTAAGACCGCGGACAGAAAGACCAGTTGTGCGGTCGAGGAGACAGTAACGCCGACAGTCAACAAGGAGATCAAACTCGGCTAGGAAGTCGGAACCAAGGATCGCATGAGGCACATCGGCAATCACAAATATCCAGGAGAATGATCGACGTAAACCAATGTTTAGCGTTAGGGAACGACTACCAAAAGTGGAAATGGGGGAACAGTTTGGAGCCTGGAGATGTAGACCAGGGCTGGGACAGCGGCGGTCAACTGGAGTGGGGGGAACCACGCTGATCTGGGCTCCGGTGTCCACCAGGAAACGCCTACGAGTCACATTGTCGCAGATATAAAAGGTGCGACCAGAGCTGGGAGAGCCAGAGAAAACGGTCGCATCTATTCTCTGACTGGCTGGTTTCCCTGTTTCGGTTTAAATGAACAAGGGGAAGAACATTTGCGAGCCTTGGCGGCAACGTTTGCGTGATACCAACACAAATTGGCTGTGCGAGGTCGCGAACGTGAACGATGATGGCTGGGTGAGCGACTACAGGTAATGCGAGCAAGCTGTAGTTTTAGGGGGGCTATCTCATTCGCCATAGCCGACATCTGTTGCAGTAACTGCTCGTTAACCGTTTAAGAGGATGTGGAAATCTGAGCAACGGAAGGTGGCTGGAACCGTTGAACCTCTATCATCCGGTCTGCCATTTCAGCAAGATGTGAAAGTGTAAGGTCTTGCGAGTCGGATGCCAAAATCGTTTGGACATCTGCAGGCAGCCGCTCTAGAAACATCTCTTTAACGAGTTTCTCGTCGACCTGCATATCTCCTAAGACAGTACGCATTCGTCGGAGAAGGTATGAGGGCTTCCGGTCGCCCAGTGATTCCTCCTTGATCAACTGTTGGTAGCGTTTTCGGTCAGATACAGCATTGAGACGAAGGATTTCCGCCTTCAGAGCAGAATAGGGAGCGTCTGCAGGGGGTTTCACTAACAAGGGTTGAACTTGTGAGATAATATTGGCAGGGAGAACCTCCACAAGTTTGTGGTATTTCGACAACTCCTTCGTAATGTTGGCGGAGTAAAAGGCTGAATGAATGCGGATAAAATAAAGTTCAGGGGCGTGTTGCCAGAAATCAGACAAAGTGAAATTGACGGCATGAACAGACTCGGCAGGAACGCCAGGTTGTTGAGTTGAGAAAGACATAATAAGCAAAATATAGGTAGCACAATATCGTGAAAAGGTAAGCGGGAAATGTAAATGAACTAAAATTTAGCAAATATATACAGGACGTTAAATGTCATTAAATGTTACAGAAGGAAAGAACTTAAGTCTGCGCTAACGTAGGGAGTCAACAATGACGTAAGTTATGTCGTTCCCGCGAACTAACGAACTACGGCTTACTAACCTCATAAACGGAGAGAGGTAAGGAAGGCCAGTAAGTGAATAAAGTTGATATTAAAAATGTGCAACGACCTGATCAGAGAGCACGCAAGCGGTGCGAAGCTTATAAGCGGCGGGGTCCTCGTCACGTCAAAACAAATGCTACAGTAAAACAAACATGACAAGATTGTCAAAGGTCAAGTAGTCAAGTACTTCAGCACAAATCCATTTGCCCTTGTCCGCAGAAAGTTCATTTTTGATAACGAAAATGACTAAAATAACGTAAAGTCCTTAGAAGTCCAATTGTCGGAGCGCCATAACTTACCTGCGTTGATACGTTTCATTGAAAAGGTCCGTGTCCTTTGCTTTAAACAGTTGAGAAAACCCACTCAGCCGCTGAAATCCCCATTCTTGTGAAGTCTTACTTTCTGTGTAGCAGAAGACTGCTGGAGGTCAAAAGGACAAGATGCAACAATAGGAACTCCCGTAATACAGGTGGCCTTGCGTTAAATTCCAGGAAGGGTGCAATTCCTCTGTTCTTGTCCTTGCCCTAACCGTACGGTAATCTTATCAGGATTTGGCGTAAGGCCACCTATATTATTGGGAAGGAGCCATTATTCTGATATCCTACCCCAAAATGAATTAAGACACTATTCATAGAATATAGAACCACCGACTCTTTCTCAATCCAATGTAAATTATAATTTTCATCCGTATAAAGCTCCGAATGAGGACTTTGGTGATTTTAAACTCGCGTTAAAACTTACGCAGTCAATACCGAATGAGGTTAACCACTGGTTTTGGGGTATTCAAATACTAACCAATTCGAGCTTCGCACGACAGCTGCATTGCTTCTCCGGCCATATAATCACTTGCTCCGTCTTGTTGCCAAAATGCTACAGGTCCGTTCTCCGTAGCAGGGTCCCCAAACCTCTCATAATTACTCGATGTCAATAGTCGAGCACAGTGTCATCTTGAGGTGTTAATTTTCAAAAAAGTTAGCGCCGACTTTTTTTTCGGAGGCCGCTCCGTAACAAAACACGATCTCGAGAGTGCGTTGCCAGTCACACCTCAGATTCTTGATGTCCGGAACCTATTGTTTGGCTAATCAAGAGAACCATTCTCGTAAAAATGGGCCTTCTCCAATAATCAGATGCTAAATAAGGTTGTCGTCCTTTCCGACCATCTCTTAAATCCATATCACGTGGTTTTTCGATTTCTCATGACTTGTAGACTTTAATTTGCGTTTGTATCTTTTATGGACGCTTGTGAAGGTATGATTGCCCGTACGGCAAGGACATTTGTGAAATTCCAAGCTCCGAAGGACAATTATGAGCGGACACTTCTGGTTCTTTTCAATGTTTTGTTGTTTACGCTCAATATTTTCCCGTTTATGGGCATAGCGAGAGCTTTCAGTTCATGGAAAACGTTGAACTAAGCGATATTTTGCTGGTCTCGTGAGCACACTCTTGATACGGAAATAACACACGTATGCGCCGGTTGCCTAAGTTGAGTACTTTTTGGGTGCTGCTGCCCTGCTGATTTGTGAAAAATATATTTCCACGAGAAGCATTTCAAAATTTGAAGCTTTAATTCGAAAAATGAATAGTAGAAAAAGTCTGGAATTTTCAGACAGTAAGACGATTCACGAATTACCCTGAGTTTTTAGCGGAAGGAAAGGCCAAAAACCATCAATCAAGGAATGATTACTACATAAATCAAAAACTCTAGTGTGGCTTTCATTTTGGACCAAATTCCAATTTTTGCCACGTTTAAATGCAATGTAAAACATGCCTGAAAACGAGTTCAGACTTCAGAAATGGTTGAAAAGTTGCATCCATGGAGTAAAATTCAACAGGCCCCGTAGAATATGATCGCATAAAGGTAAATATCTTTAAATTTGCTAAGATAAGATCTAAAACACCAAACCTAGGAAAAACGATATTTTCTAACCGCAGTCGCATTTCGGTAGTGCATGCACTACGGTCCCAAATTGTATAATGCTTAAATCCTGAGAATTGCAAATTACACATAACACATCAACGCTTGTAGGAGAAAGTAAGGTGGACAGCGTTAGAGTTGCTAGAAATTCATAAGTTAGTCCAAATATGCTCTTTTATGCGAATTTCTTTCATAAGACATGAAAATGGAGGAGGACTCGATGTATTTTGCCGTCAGTTTTAGCTTTCCAGCGCCTCAGTGTTTCGAGTGCGTTAGTAGTCGTGCCAGAGTATTCTACTAACTACTTCTGCCCGAAACAATGCACGAACTATGCATGGTCCGATCAGGTCTGACTCCTCTCCCCGAGGTTACCTGCATGCCCCATGCGGTGTGATTTAGTTCGCACCCCTGTCAGTCTTGGTGCCTATGGTGGTACGCCTACTCCGCATGCCAATGACTGACAACCCTCAAGTACACACGAACTGCAGAAATTGGGACCATTCTCTCTCGTCACAATGAGTGCAACTTGTGCGGGTGCGTTTGCACCGGCAGGTATATCGGCTTGTTAACACGCCTCCGCAGCCCGGGGTCGGCTGACGAAGGTTACAGATTTATTTCGCAAGTCAATTGATAGAGGGCATCGGTTAGGGGAGAAGTCGGGAAATGAAGAGAGTCAAACGCAAACCGAGAAAGAAACGGTTAATTTGAAACACCAGGACAACATTCGTACCCTTTTCACGCAGCCGCATCCCGACTAACACCCAGGATCGAAGACAATTATATGCCCATTCGTCCGTTGGCGCTCATTGACCTAGGTCTAACCAGCGATTCATTGGGCATATTTAGCTTCATGTAACCGATGCCTCGTATTCATTAGGCCAGGAAAAGCGTGCTGATCCATCTGCTAGACTCCTGTTGCTTGGATAGCCTCTCCGTGCTTTTGACACCATGTACCTGGTATAAATGTAAAATTTGAATTACGTGAAAAAGTGGAGAGACAGAGACTTGTTTTGTCCTGCAGAGGTCTTAACGCTTATTCCCATTAGGATGCTGATTTGGATGCAAGTTTTCGCAGCACCTAATAAATAATGAACTTTGCTAAGTTGCTGCGGCAATCTGGACATGAAAATGAAGCCTGTAGTTCCCCGCGTTGGCTGGATCACTCACTTTATCTTGTTCTGAGGCTATCGTTGAAGGTTTTGGCGTAGCATACCTTTCGCTAAAATCGGCAACGAAATTATTTTAAGTCGGCAAAAATGACAACGGCAGTTTCTAAGGCGCGCTTATTTTCTGAACGAAGACTTTGAGAGGTAGGAGGACTCGCATGTACAGAAGAATAATGTCGTTGGACCCAGTTGAACGATCGAGAGTTGGGCTAACGTTGATCCGTTTGCCACCGTGAGTGCTGCCAACTAACTGAGTAACACGATCCTCATCTCAGAACGGAGGGTCGGGCTACAATAGCTCCTTTTTAATGTGATCGCCATGGTACCCCACTCAGTCAGAATCCACGCCATCCTCGTTTCTACAAAAGCCTGGTCCTTCGTGAGCAGATTGGGCACGCGCAGGCGGGTTGTTTAGTCTTGTCAGTCACTAAACTTTATCCTGCCTCTGACCTTCTTTACTTCATCTTGTCATGGGACCCGGAAAGGTGAGGATAGGGAGAGTGTGGTAGATGCTGAGCAAGTCTATCATCACAGCAAACTAACTCACACACAAGTCCCCCTCCCCCGCGCCCACCATACTGTGAAGCACATGGTGGGCATCATGATGCTTGAACTGTCAAGACAAAGGACACATATTCAGAAATCTTTTAAAGTGCACACTTCTAATAAGTAGCATAATTCTTCTTGATGTATAGTACAGTAGACAGGTGAACGTGTCCTACCAGAAGACCTATACTACCACCCTAATTTTGAAGATGCGTTAGCCTTAATTAAAAAGTACAGCAATCAGTGCGTATTTGGGACGTCGGCAGCACGACTCCATCCAGCGAGACAAGTCTACGGCCTTTGAGAGTCTTCCCTATTTCTCATAGTCCACACGGACAAGACCATGATCACTCACTACCGGGATATTCCAGAACGTCACACCTGTTATGTCCGTAATGCTTAAATGACCTGGGGTTTTCAGAACAAATGCCTGGAACATTAACTAATTCCCTGTGAACTGTTTACAGTGCATACAAATACTGGCGTGCCAGCGAGGTAGGAGAATGAAAGGTACTGATTACACAAACGAAAGTAAGTCATGTGGTGTCATCATCACA